ACCTACTAAGACTATAATTTCACAGCAGATTCTACAAAAATGTACCTTCCCAGCCTTTTTCCTTCACCAACGTCTCAACACTTTTCAGTTCACTTGTCTTAAACTGATAGTTAATTATTGCACAGAACATAGAGCACTTAATAATGTAAATAACCTTTAAATTCTCTCAGCCATGATTTACATTCTGTCTTGGACAACCAAAAAGCATCAAAAAATTCTTGCTATTCCACTAAATTCAAAGTTGAAGAAAATTCGAACCCTGTTAAGGTGGCTCGATACAGTTTTTCAGGGTCAAACCTCCCAAGTTTGAGCATAAACTACGTCCTCATAAACAAAGTTTTGGAAAAACTGCCACCACAGTTGTATTAGATAAAGATGAAAATTGGTTATGATTAGGGTTGCAACGGCGTCGGAGTTGTCATAGCAACGAAATGACGCTATTAGCTATTTTACTTGCAGCAGTATATCTCGGCACTGGGAACTGTTCTTCGAAAATCATTCAACGGAGCTTTTTCCTACAATAGCAGCCTCGATGTTCGTGAAGTTTAATCGAAATCTGTAAGAGCGTTATCGAGATATTTTGGGATAAAGATTTTGAGGTTAGAAGTGAGGTAAAAAATGCACAATCTTGGTGTTTGGCCGTTATCTGTAGAAAACGAAGCGCTTTGGACATGCAATTTCACCTCATAGTAGTTTCAATCTTTTTAAAAACGTGTGTGAAAGATCAAGGAGATAGGTCCAGCCGATTGCTAGAAAGAAAGATTTTATTAGTATGTATCTGGGCGCTATTGTTAGCAGTTTTTTAAACATTTTGGTCTACTTTAACAAATTAGCGAATAATTTTTAAACCGCTTGATAGATTTTCTTAAAAATTTAAGGTTCTTGAGATTAACCTTCCTTTTATAAGACCTTTTAGTTTCAAGATTATTGATATATTGTAAGGAAGTAAAATAAGGGTTACAATTCCCTAATATTTGGGCAGAAATTTTGTGTTTACAAGTGTGAGCCTCTCATTATTCAGGGTATTGTGTCCAAGTTTCATATTTTAATGCACAACAATAGCCAGCATTTTTGCATATTTCAAATGCTTTGTTAGTTACTGCTGTTCACGTGAAAATGAAACTTGGAGACAATGCCTTGAATAATTAATGGCTTTCATTTGTAATGACGAAACTTCCGATAAAAAAGTAACGAATTGTAACCCTTATTTTACTGCCTTAAAATATATCAATAACCTTGAAACTTAAAGGTCATATAAAAAGAAGATTAATCTCACGAATCTTAAGTTTTTAAAAAAATCTGTCGAGCGGTTTAAAAATTATCTGCTAATTTGTAAAAGAAGACCAAAATGTTTACAAAACCGCTAACAAGAGCGCTTCGATACATACTAATCAACTTCTTCTTTCTAGCAATCGGCTGGAGCTATCTCCTTGATCTTTCACACTGCAAAAATTTTTCCAACTTTGATGATACTCCACTTTAACGTACAGTTTTCGCGAAGTAAAAGATGTCTATTGCCGGTTTGTTGTTATAACAGGTACAAAATGACACAAAGATTGTATAAAAACTTTATCCCAAAATATCTCGATAACGCTCTTACAGATTTCGATTAAACTTCACGAACATCGTGGCTACTGTTGGAGGAAAAAGCTCCTTTGAATGATTTTCGAAGAACAGTTCCCAGTGCCGAGATATACTGCTGCAAGTAAAATAGCTAATAGCGTCATTTCGTTGCTATGACAACTCCGACGCCGTTGCAACCCTGATCATAACAAATTTTCATCTTTATCTAATACAACTGTGGTGGCAATTATTCCAAAACTTTGTTTGCGACGTAGTTTATGCTCAAACTTGGGAGGTATTGACCCTGAAAAACTGTATCGAGCCACCTTAAGTAAAGTGGGAACTCCTTTACAGAGTTTATTAATGGGCTTACCCGGTTTGCAAACACTGTCAGCCTATGAGATCATACCTCATGGTTAAAAACTGTGAGAGTGCAGTTTTGTAAGTAGGACTGGGTCGGACCCAGTGGGTCCACGAAATGAGAATATTTTAAGTAATAACTAAAGGCACTATGTAATGCCTTTCTGCATGCAAAACTAAGTCCTGGATGAAAACATAATTGCCCAACCAATCAGAACGCAACACTGATGATAGACCACTAGTTGTATTTTACTATACAGGTGTTAGCCTACTTGAAGCCTTAGCTTTATGGAGGTTTATCCGGACTGAATAATTTGTTCAAGAGTTGAATGGTGCTGCTTATCTACTTAGAAAGATCCTTAACCTTATCTAGTGTTGACATGAACCATTTCGTCATTCTCTTCCTAGATAAAAGCAGGCACCTTTAATGCGCACTTCCATCAATCAATTTATACTACCAATGAAATATAAGTCCAGCTCTCGATAAAGGCGAGAACTTGTTGGATCATACCGAAAAACACTATGATAGATTTTAGCATTGGTAACCTTAAGATAAGAGTGATATTCCTGGTATATACTAGAGCATCTTACCCACTGTAGGCATCTGTTCAAACCGTGAATAACGCTGCTCGTAGAAAAGACACTTTACAGTGCCGGAGTGGTTGTAGCAGTTTGATTTGAGGGGAAGGTAGGAGGCTTCATCTTACACAGAAAGCTTGTATCTGAGTTCAAGGAGTATCATGGGTAATAAAGGGGTGCATGTGAACCCAAGGAAACTTCATCCCTTCACCTCCTTGATGCGCCCCTTCTGGGGACACGGGCTGGCAGAAAATATTTTGTAGTAACACACTAAGAGTAATGTATCACAGAGCATACATTACTCTTAGTAGGGCCATTTATACGAGGAAAAATAGGACGCGAACTTTCCGTATAAACGGCACATTTCGTCTAAAATAAGACGCGGCTTAGCTAAGACGCGTCTTATTAGATAAGACATGCTCGTATAAATGGTACAGTTCGCGTCTTATTTAAGACGCGGATTATGTACGACGCGTCTTATTTTTCCTCGTATAAATGGCCCTAGTGTGTCTAACGCGCTAACAGTATAGTTGAACAGTAGGAAATGTGACTTGTGCTTAATTTCTAGGTATGGTGCCTCAATTGTTAGTCAGATTTTTATATTTTTACCACTTCTTTGGAGAAGGTATTTACGTAATTCATGGCGTGATGCTAAAAAGCTGTATATTTTAAAGACTGGTTTTGTTTACGTCATTTTTGCGTACGAATACTTAAACTGGTCCAGAAATTTAAGTTGATGTGTAAAGGTTGTACCATGCGAAATTCAGAAACGAAAAGTGTAGTGCATGTTCAGGACAGTAGATCGAAGTAGGTTTCTCGCCAATCAGAACGCACGATAAAAACTAAGAAACTTCTTACCGTCAATGCTAAAACGTTTTTCAGTCCTTAATTGTGGGGCTTTTCCTTTCTTACATCCAATAATGATAATAACAATAATAATTTATTAACAGATCCACTGGGTGGCTCTTCCCTGGTACATCAATTACAATTAAAAATAAACCAAATTAAGTTATTTACAAATTATGCAATATCAATTAAAAGTAGAGGCAGGATAAAACAGTAGCTTCACTGCGAAAATAGCCACGAAATTTTGCCGCGCTGTTGATATGCGTTCTTATCACATTATTGTTTTGTCACAGCTCGTTGCCGGCCCATGGGGAGTGTAGTTTTCCTATTTAGTGTCATGTTTTCGGGATTTTTCCCCTCTTTTCGCGAAGTTTCGCTAGTGGCAACTGCTTACAGAATTTTTTTCCCCACCCTCATCCCCTCCCGCGACGTGTATTCATCTGCCAGTATATTTACAACTCATTGCCCGGGCAAAATTTTTTTCCCCATAACTTATCCATAGCTGGGCCGCTGAGTGGCTATTGTGGCAGTGAAGATATATTTCAATCGAACTTACAGTAAAACTAGCTAATCACTCTGTACTCTGTTACATAAAAAATTCCTTGAAAGTCTTAAAAAGGTTCTGTAACCTTTACAGTTTTTACAGTTTCTAATAGTTTCTGGTAGATTCTTAAATAGCTTCAACGCATTATCTTTGAAAGTGCCGTTTTCGGTCGGGACCACTAATCTAATTGAATCAGTGCCTGGGTGCAGTTCCTTGCGGCATTTACAGTTTTATAAGCATTAGTTGCTTGAGGTATAATTGTATTTAAGCAATAACATTTTTCTAGGAAGCCAGGAAATATTTGTACATTACTTACAGGTGTAAAGTCATTGTTATGACTCTGAGATAAGGTCTTTATTGAAAACTATTTTCATAGATTGTAATCATCATTTATTGTCAAGAATACATTTACAAGACTATGAAAGTTGTATTTAACTTACAAAGCTTCAGGTATTATTTCACAAGATAACGTACAACGTTAATTGAGTATATTATATTACTGCTTTCAAAAAGCTTAGCTTACGCTCATAAATATATTACACATCAGCTTAGCATACTTTATTTTAAATATATTTTAACCCATTGAGAGGAGTCCTCTTGTCTGAATAAAGGAATTTTTGTCATTTGTATTTCTGAGTTTTTGCCTTCCTAATTTGTCCTTATAAACACACTACAAACTTATTTTGTCAGAGGTAAAATCGTTTTTGGGCCCGCCAGGCTGTTTTGTACTTTTTCGAATCATAAGGCCAGAAATCAAATAGCCCAGGTCCTTTCTCGTCGTTCTTAAAATGAAAACTGTTTTTTTTAAGTAACTGGAATCCAAGAAGTCGGCTAAATTGTAATTCTGCCAAGAAAATTCCACCTCCTATAAAATTATGGGTTATCGGATTCCTGTTTGATAGTTCTCTGAATAACTTGCAATAGCCCCTTCCTTAATGCCTTTTCTATTCACGTTTACTGGACTCAATCCACCCGTCACTTTATTCTAATGAATAGATAACGTTATAGTTTTTCCTAGGGCATTATATGATCGAATATTTTGTGAGAATTCGAGAGCAGCTACAAGGAATCCAAAAGAGATAAATTTGTCAAGAAATTTCTAAAACTGCTAAACTCCAAATGAAGTGATCAGAATTGACAAAAATGCTAATAAGGTCCTGCTGCTTGCCGAGTTTTGTGTACCATAGGTCCCAGCTTTGCTCTTTCTTGATGTTTCGGAAGTCGTCTCAGTGTTGTTAGAAGGTACCTTTTCATTCTTGCCATGAGTACTACTTGTGCTTCTAAAAGAGTCTAAAGTAGGTCAATAAAAGAAAGAAATATTTAGTTCAGCAATGAGTGCCTATCCAGATAAAATCGATAGAAATGGGGAAATGATTAAAACTATAGAAAATGGAAAATACTGGATTTGGGGGTTGTTGAAAATTAAAACAGGAAGAGAATAATTAGTAGACAAATATACCAGATAGTCTACCATCAAAACAGGATGCCTTAATTTAAGCTCATAAGGAGACTAACCGGCGGGCTAACCGGTTTATTTGTATACCTTTTCTACCCTAATTTCTTTCCTTCTCAAATAAACCCCATCCCCCGCCTCCAAAAAAAAACAACAACAACAAAAGGACCTCCCCCTTAAAATTATTTACACGCGATCTGTGATGTAAGTTAGACTGACCTTTTGGCAGTACAACACTGATTTTCATCTTGTACACCTGGAATTTGGGAAATATTTGGCATTGTAATTGCAAACCACGGTCTTCCTCCCTAACTTCCGTCAATTCCAGTGTCGCTCCGTCAATCCTGAGCCTTGATTGACAGGTACTGTTACACTCGTCGAACACGCACGACTCGGAGTTGCAATATGCAATCTTCTGCATTTTTCCATCGCGTTTGATCCAGTACCACCACATGTCTTGAAAGTTACCTATGGAGACCATTTTACCTAGTGTCCCGCTGAGGTTAAAAGCTTGATTTGCAATTAAAGTCAGGCCTGAAAGATGAAAATAAAGCCTTGGTCAATGTACGAAAATGTTGGTGCATTTTAACAGCCTTTGCTCACTTGGACCACAGGCCCAAATGCCCATTTTGCGGGGATTCCGCACTCGCCTGTGGCTTGTGTCCCATGTTCGTACCACATTTTGATGTTATCTGTGATCTATTTTGATCTATTTCTGAACAGTTGCACGGCAACATAAGAACTTCTTTCTCAATTGAATGGTTGAATCAAATAGGCCAACAAAAGCGCAGAATTTGGCTTGAAATTTACAGCCTACAAACGCAGCCTCTTTCAATAACTTGAGTATAATCTTTCTCCTGTTGTCGATCTTTCAGAAAGAGAAAGTTTCCATCGATGAAAAAAATTTCGAATACAGATCTAGAGCTGAAAAGGATTTTAATGCGTTTGGAACTGTAGTGACTATCAGCCAATCAGAGCACGATGTCGTTTTTTCTGCTCGGATTAATGGCCCAAGGTTCCGTGACTTTCAGTACAGATCGAGAAAAGTAGTATATATCTTTCAATTCAAGCAGGACGACTGTTGATGATCTACGTGCGTCAACTCATAAACAGGAGCGTCCAAAATTGTGACTTTGAGTCGTCAAAAACATCCCTTTAACGCTTATAATGCTCATTATGGTCCAAAACTCACAAGTGAATTGCAACAAAATTGAAAGCAAACCTTTAAATTTAAGGCCCGTATATATTACAGTGATATAAATCCGGCCCGCTAAACCGCTAACCAATCACAGTGCGCGCACTAACTGAGGGATAAAAATAAAAACAAAAATAGAGGATATTACATGGCCGCTTGGGCATACGAATTTTATCTTCGAGTGCTGAAAGTATCTCTCACTCGTTCGCTTCGCTCACTCGTGAGAGATACTTTCAGCACTCGAAGATAAAATTCGTATCCCCAAGCGGCCATGTAATGTTCTCTTTAGTTTATAGATGCTGATGAAATACCTACATAAAACACAACCTTTTTTCAATTCATCTTCGAAACAGCAAAATAGTGCAATTAAAGTGGTCTCCTATCGCAAAATGCCTGTCACAAAAATGTTATGAAACTCGGATATAAAGATATAAAGGAGAAATAAAGACAATAATGCTTATGATTTTCTGTTCCAAAAAGTCAAAATTAATGTTAGTAACCATGGCGACAACAATATCTTCACACGTGAAAGATAGAAATTGTATCTTCACTGCGCGCGATGAAGATATGATTTTTTAGTAAAAGGTAAAATCCTGCTATTTCATCTATATAATAAAAACAAAAGACCCATTAAATTTTACTTACAATTCACGGAAGAGGAAACATTTACTTGGTAAACGAGTGGGTCTTTGTTCTGTTTTCTTTGCACAGAGCATGTAAAAGTCAGTAAGTCATCCTTGATCCACTGCTCCACGTACAATGTCCCATTTACAGGACCATTTCTGATCGTGATACGTTTCTCAAAGTTTCCCAGGGAATTATATCTGGTACAGCGGAGTTTTTCATTGCAATAACCTATTTCTCGTTCGGATTTGTCACGAGGGTCGGCGACTTTCCAGATGAGTTCTCCGTAATCTCCGCTCTTGATGGCTTGCTCAAGAGGAGGACAATACAATTCGACCATTTCGTTTGGGCAAACATTCGTGTCCTCAGCAAGAACGCCTAAAGAAAAAGAAGACAGGGAAACGGAACAATTTGTAAGTAAAAGAAAAGATAATTAGACAGGTGTCAAGATCCAATCTGGTCAAACAACTAAATTTGACTAAAGCTTGACCTAGAGCTTTTATACTCTTTTCAGCCCAAACTNATCTTCACACGTGAAAGATAGAAATTGTATCTTCACTGCGCGCGATGAAGATATGATTTTTTAGTAAAAGGTAAAATCCTGCTATTTCATCTATATAATAAAAACAAAAGACCCATTAAATTTTACTTACAATTCACGGAAGAGGAAACATTTACTTGGTAAACGAGTGGGTCTTTGTTCTGTTTTCTTTGCACAGAGCATGTAAAAGTCAGTAAGTCATCCTTGATCCACTGCTCCACGTACAATGTCCCATTTACAGGACCATTTCTGATCGTGATACGTTTCTCAAAGTTTCCCAGGGAATTATATCTGGTACAGCGGAGTTTTTCATTGCAATAACCTATTTCTCGTTCGGATTTGTCACGAGGGTCGGCGACTTTCCAGATGAGTTCTCCGTAATCTCCGCTCTTGATGGCTTGCTCAAGAGGAGGACAATACAATTCGACCATTTCGTTTGGGCAAACATTCGTGTCCTCAGCAAGAACGCCTAAAGAAAAAGAAGACAGGGAAACGGAACAATTTGTAAGTAAAAGAAAAGATAATTAGACAGGTGTCAAGATCCAATCTGGTCAAACAACTAAATTTGACTAAAGCTTGACCTAGAGCTTTTATACTCTTTTCAGCCCAAACTGTTAAGAGAGTCGTTTAACCTTAACTGTGAACGAAGGTCAGTAAGTGAATGAATGGATGAATGAATAAATAAATAAATGAACGAACGCGTTTAATCTAGTTATTCCGATTTGATGTAGATGTTTTTCATGTTATTGTATTGTTTGTTTTGTCGATGACGCAGGTTGAGTCGCAATTGTCTGAAAAAGTTGATGCTGAAAACAACACCAAAAAAGACGATTGCAAAGAAAGCATAACCATAATGGAATTTATAGAGACACTTATCTACTTACAAGCGGTAAACTCTTTCTGTTTCAAAACAATTGCCAGAGGGGGATTTTGGATTGACTCCTGGTGTATTCGCTTGTTAAGCAAGTATTGGTTTTAAATGTTATCGATACCACTTTAAGTTAAAAACATGGATATAGCGATCTATGTATTCCTCGTTATCTTTTCTATTTTTACAAAAGCCGCAAGGCACTCGAGATGACCTCTGAGTCCGCAAGACAATAGCAAGTGCCTGAATAAAATAGATCTTTCATCTTTATTGCTTTTAAATCAGTCAGGGTCCCAGACTTCTTTTGAGTTTCCTTGATAGTTGGTTAAGACTACTGCTTAGTTATCATACCTTTTTATAATGGAATTTCGGTCTTTACCGTAGCTCTGTAAGCTTACAGCAATTACTGGGCTGCAGTTTTGTCAAAGACTACTGACCATCACATTTACTACTGCGTCCAGTGATCGATGTTTTATTAAAGAAACAATTGCAACCACGTACTTGAATTTTGATTTGTGCTGTGAAAACAAACATGTACTTACCTTTCAAAGCTATGACGACGAGTATATTAAGTGCGAATGACCTACTAGCTGTAGACATATTTTATGGATATAGGCGACAAACGTCTCTAATCTCACAACCAACTGAAACACTTCGTAAAGACTTCAGACAATGACTGAAGGTTTCATATGGCCTGTAGGCTTTATCAAGATGATGCAACAGCTGCAACGTAACATTCCCGGTGAAATATTTTTAGCTCTTGTTAATCAGAGAAAAACGAGAACTATTCGAAGCAAGTGAAAAGGGAAATAACTCAAAGGGAGATCGAAAGCGAAACAAGGTATGTTCATTTTCTTCAACAATATCAGGTGAAAATCCGAATCAAATCTGCATGGTAATCAATTTTTATTATCTTTTAGGTATAGACTGGTTAAGTTTCAAAGTTTTGTTACTTTTTGCAATGTTTTTTAACAATGTCATTGATGATTGACCGTGTTTTTCTTTTTCTTTTGTGAATACAAACCGATAATTTGGTTGTCATGCCGGGTTAAATAAGAGTGATGACATGAAAATTATGTGTAACAATTATTATTAAAGTGGACCTCCCCGCAATAAACTGAGCCAACATAATCATTCATGCACGCTTGAACCCAGACAATACCCAATGTTTAGATAACATTTCAACGCTTCGTATTGTCTGTGGTTTTCTCATGATGGTTTTAAATGTTATGTATTGATTTTGTTTATACTACAATCAAGTCGATTTCCTATTCCTAAACAAGAAAAAAAGTCCCCCCATGATAACAAGGCTAGTAACTAGAACTTCGGCAAATTGAAAGGGCAGCGGGAAATACAACTGAAGCTGAGATGTGGTCATTTATCCACCAGTTTAGCTCAGTTTGATACTCTTGGCATACTTGAAACGTAAATCGACCGGCTCGCTTCTGCCGCGTTAAACGTTTCAAGTCATTTCTCATGAGCCTCTCTGTGGTTACCGACGGAAGCTGTTTTCTTCGCGCGTTTGCCATCAATTCATCGTCGGTTTTTCAACGAAATCACTCCGAGTAAAGAATTTATTGTTTTACGCGTTAAGCAACCACGACGGACGAAGGAGGAAACAGCAACAGCTTTAATATAAAGCACAACAAAAGCTCTGAATGTGCAGCAGAATCCTGGCAGATTCCATTGTGCCATCATCCCTCGGGCGGGGGGGGGGGGGGGGG